GTAGTTATGGAAGGAGTCTAGAAGGCTAAGGAGTTGAACATCGGGAAACTCTTAATTGAAGGGGATTTAGAGGTGGTGATAGGATGGCTGATTAAAGATCACAATGGCTTATGGAAGTACAATAATGAGAGGAGGAAATTCAAGTGGCTGGTGCGGGAGATGGAAGTTAAGATACGTTGGGTTAAAAGATCGGCTAACTTCCTAGCTGACGCTTTAGCTAAACAAGGGGCAAAAAGGGACTCACTGTTTTGGGCTAAGCTGTAACTATAGTGTGTTTTCTTTCTTTCTTTTTTTCCTTTTCTTGAGGTTCTTTGTTGCTATTGGAAGATAAGCGTGTTTGTCTTCCTATTGTAAATATTCTATTGATGAGTTAATGAAAGTGTTATTGATAAAAAAAAAAAATACTATTGATTGAAAGCAAGTTAGTATCAAGCTTAGGAACATGCAAAACTGAGGATAAGGAAATGGTATTAGACAACTTGATGTCTCCCTTGCCAGAAATGGGAACAAGGGAACCATCAACAATAGACACTTTATCTCTACTAGAAGATAAGTGATAGGTAGTGAACAATGATGGCAAGCTAGTCATATGGTCAGATGCACTTGAGGCTATTACCCAACAATGTTAAGTGTTACTTGGAGCTGAAGTATGGTAAGCTGAGGCCGAGTACCTGAATTAGCAAAGGCTGATGTGGAAGGAGCTGATGATGACCGAGATGATTGAGCTGAATTCCCAACTTCCTTTTCCAACTGTGTTAGGGCAGCCCGAACAACAGCTAAGGAGTCTAGAGGCGTGCCTTTTGTGCCGATGAGGATGCAGAATCGATATTAACAGCCATATGGGCATTACCCCTTTTGTTCCTCAGTTTTGTAGGGACTAGATGAGGGTGCAACTTCCAACATGTGTCTTTAGTATGCTTAGGTTTCTTGCAATGTTCACACACTAGATCCCGCTTATCTTCCTTCTTTATATCCCTTTCTGTATCACCCCCAGACTTAGGTTTAATTGCTGCCAAGGTTGGTGGGAAGGGCTGATGCTGCATCATAACCTTTCTCTTAGTTTCTTCACTATGCACCAATGAGTAGGCTTGAGATATGGTCACACTATCCCTTGTTAGTATCTGCTGTCTCACAATATCATAATCAGAATTCAGACCAGCTAGGAATTCAAAAACCCTATTAGTCTCCACTTGCTTTCTATGAATCTGTGCATCATTCTGATTTTTCCACTCAAGTGTCTCTAGATGGTCAATTTCATGCCACAAAGATTTTAGAGTAGAGAAGTAAACTGAGACTGGTTTCTCTCCTTGCTTGAGGTTATTAACCTCACACTTCAATTCATAGGCCCTAGCAACATTAAGGGGTTGGGAGTAGGTCTCTTTCATGACATTCCGGATTTCCTTGGCTGTTTTTGCCCACAAATAGTTTTGGCTGATATGTGGCTGCATAGAGTTGCACAGGCATGTCATAACCAAGTAGTTCTCCTGAACCCATTTGGTATACATTTGGTCATCCTTAGATGGTTCTTTCACATCTCCCAATAGGTAGCTAAGTTTTCCTCTACCCCCAATAGCCATCATGGCCGATTGGGCCCATTCTAAGTAGTTGGATCCATCAAACCTCACAGTTGTAATCTGAAATCCATTCTCAGACATATTACCAGATTTGCTAGTCCCAAAAGCACCTTCCCCTTGATTCTTGAACTCCATTCTTGGTTAAGAATTAGCAATCAAAAACATTTGAAGCTACTGTAATAGGAAACAACACCTAAGCAACTGATAACAGCCGGCCTAGGTCTTCCACAAACAAGGGGAAAACAGAATTCTGTATGAACCCAGTTTAGATCTGATCTGAAACCAATCGACAGTTCTGAATTTTAGGGTGAACCCAGTTCAGATCTGATCTGAAACCAATCGACAGTTCTAAATTTTAGGGTTTTCTCTCAAAACCCTAAAGAGAAAAAAAGTTTCAGCCGCACCTCTCAGAATAGAACAAGGTGGTTCTTTCAAGGTTCTTCTCAAGCAAAAAACTTACTTTGTGAAAGAAGATCTCTGGCCTCCGCCTTCTGTTTGATGCGAAACCCTAATCTTGGGGATCCGAAGCCTTTTCTAATTCTTCCTGACTACTGGAACTCTCCCAGCCTTCTACAATCTTCTTAGTAGTAGCCGCACACTACCAGTAGCCTCCAAGAATCAGCCGATCCTCCTTCTTAGTCTTCCATCCCTAGGCAACTCTCATGTGGTTGGCTGGATCAGAATCACATGAGAAACCCTAATCCTTGCTCTGATACCAAGTAGTCGATCAAGACTACAATCAGTCTTGAATCCGAAAGTAAAAGAAAAGATTTCAGAAGGAGAAAAGAAGAAGAAAAGAGGGAGAAAAGCAGAAGCACACGAAGGGTTTTAGAAAAGGAGAGAGAGAGGGTCGAATTGTTCTGATCTGCCGACCCACTCTTAATACTTATATGTTTACAAATTGTAAAAAGGCTGAATTGCCCTTATTGCTTACATGGCAAATAAATAAGAATAAAGCTGAAATAACAAGCTGTAACAACAAACTGAAATAACTATCAACTAACACTGACATAACTAACAAAGAATACATGCTGTGCTGCCATACAAACACAGTGGGGACCACAGCCGTGGGGTCCACATCAGTGTTCTCTACAAACCTGAATAGATTCCCCTTGGTTTACCCATGGAATGGTATTGTCTCAATCTCCCCTTTCTGTGACCTGTAGTAGGTAACGAATATCGTGTTAAATTTTGTACTGATTTATGGTGGGGAACTCAACCTTTTTGTCTTTTGTACCTTAGTCTTTTCCAATTGACATAAGATAAAGATGCCTTTGTTTCCTTGGTTATAGCCATAGGTGAAGTAGGTCTTCCTTTTTATTTCCATTTCCATAGAGCCCTTAGAAACCCTGAAATCTGAATGCCTTTCTTTCCTCTTCCACTCTTGACAGAAGAGTCTGGGCCCCTTCTCCTCAAGCCCCCCCTCCCCCCTTTCACCAAATCTTTCTTCTCTAGGGACAGTTTGGGAAGAAAGAAATCAAAGAGTTTTTTCATTTTAGGAGAGAAGAGATGCACTCATTGAAACCATTGCCATTAGAGTGGTCCATTGGGTGAAATCCTTTGAGCAAATTTCAAGATATCTCTACTATTGGCTTGCTTAGAAAGTGGGAGGAAGTGGCTGGTTCAGCACCCTCTAAAGGTGTCATTAGGCCATCTTGGTCCCCACCTACTCATGGTTTCATCAAGCTGAATTTTGTTCAGGCATTGGAGGAATTTTTCAAAATGAGGAAGAAAGAATTATTGTGTTCTACTCAGGTCCAATTGGTTTTGGTGATTACTCGAGGTCTGAAATCATGGCTCTGATAAAAGGTGTACAAAGAGCAAAGGAATTGATTATTTCAATATCAGGAGGCTGATTATTGAAGATGATTCAATGTTTGTGGTGGGCTGGCTGCAAAAGGAGGAGGTTGGTTGGTGGACCTATGTTAATGAGAGAAGAGGGTTCAATTTCTCTTGCAACCACTATTATTATTTCTACTAAATTGCTATACACGAAGTTGTACTTGGTCCTGCTTAGCTTGGACCTATCTGATTTTAAATAATTTTCCATAGTTTTAGCTTTGCATTTAGCACTTCTATGGTCTCAACAAACAGCATAAACTTTAGGATCTCCTCTTGTGAATGCTTAGTTTAGTTTTTCAAATAACTACTGCTAAAAGATAAGAGCTAAGCTCTGATCCTTGGTGTAAATGTACTGTGTGTGGAAACATCAAGTGTTGTCATACTTGTTATTAGTTCTGTCATGCATAACCTAATAATGTGATTATACTTCCTTGAAGCCCTTTTCTTTCCTAAAATCAACTAGATAACATCATTAGTGTGCTTTCATTTGTTTTTTTCCAAATTAATAAATACTATATAGAGATTTTTTCACCAAAAATAATACTATGTAGAGATCTTCCTCCTTTCTCCGAGGGTTGGTTTGGTTACAGATGAAATGGCTGAACTGAATGATTTATTGCTTTGCCTTTTCATCTTTATCATTATCATTGTTGTTTTCGTCATCATCATCATTATCAATCAAGCCTTATCCCAACTATCTGGGGTTGGCTAGATGCATCCTGTTTTGCCAGTCTTTTCTATTCAATCTCAGCCTATTCTACTTATTGCTTTGCCTTTTTGAGATCAAATAGTCATATAATAAAATATTTAGGGAAATAGTAATCAACCCAATGATTCATTCAGCCATTAAGGAGCTCTCGATCTACTTAATGACTTACCAAAAGATAAAGCAATAAGACATTTTGTTCAGCCACTACAGCTATTATTGCACCTACCCTAAGTTTATCTAGTAATTTCTCAAGTAAAAAGATAGTTTCCATAGTTTATCTATTTCGAATAATGCCAAAATGGTTGTTACATTGATTTTAGATGTATGTCTTGCTTGCAAGGGACTATATAAGAAGTTTCATCCTTAAAAATTTTCACTTGTTTTTGCATATATGAAACAATACTCTTTCCCTTTGTCACAATGATTTGTAAGTTCGTAAGTACATTTATCAAAAAAAAAAAGATTCGTAAGTTTGATCATAAGGTAATTCTCTATCCCACATTGCTTAATGCTATGCTAAAAGTATAAGAGACTGATGACACTGTTATCCCTAGGAGAACTGGTCTTTGTTTTAACTATGAGATTCCATGGTCCTTATTCTAATGAGATTAGGTGGTCTAATTTATGAAATAACTGATAACTGATGACTATCACTTCCCCTTGGTTCTTCTGTGATTTCAAAAAGGTCCCTATGAAATTTGCTTCTTGACTGAGATATATAAATGATCTTAGTGTTGTTGAGGTTAATTGTTTTTGAAGGGTTACTAAGTTGGCTCATTTTGTTTGTTACTGAAGGGATCTTGTTCTGGTTTTCAATATTTAGTACACGTGTCTGTATTTTGACAAATATGTGGCTGCCTTCATGTTTTATACAGGTTATTCATTATGAACTTCCCAATGATCCAGAAACTTTTGTACATCGGTCTGGTCGAACAGGACGTGCGGGAAAGGAAGGAGCTGCTATTCTTATGTTTACTAGTAGCCAGAGGAGAACTGTCAGATCTCTTGAGCGGGATGTGGGATGTAGGTTTGAGTTTATTAGTCCACCATCAATTGGCGAGGTTTTGGAATCTTCAGCTGCGCAAGTTGTTGCTACTCTTAATGGGGTTCATCCACAATCTATACAGTTCTTCGTCCCAACTGCACAACGGCTGATTGAAGAACAAGGAACAGATGCTCTTGCTGCTGCACTGGCACACTTAAGTGGTTTCTCCCAGCCCCCTTCATCTAGGTCTCTTATTAATCATGAACAGGTAAATGGACCTTTAAATAGTAATCCATTCTGAAGTTCTTGAATCTTCTTCATCGCATTTAATTATTTACAGCATTTCAAAAGAAACTTGAGACACAAGTTAAAATTTGATATTTCTATTCTAAATTGCTTATATAAAAGTTTTATTTTAAATTGGCAAATCATGTACTTTTTAGCAGACTGAACTCTGAAGGTGATAATTTCCTGCTTACACTGCATATGTACAATATTTATAACTCATTAGAGGTGAACTTTAAATGCTTTCAATTATAAATTGTGATGAACTTCAGTGAACAGCATATTCTCCTCATTAATTGGTTTTTTCCCTTCACAAAATGTAGTTTAATAAGTTTCTAATCTGGCTATTCATGGAAGCTGCCAAAGTTGTAAACAATAACAAGTTCACTAGATATATGTGTACAACTTCATTTCATCTGGTACCAGGATATTTTGCAAGATTTTTAGTCCTAATTATATCTCTTGGGCTGTTTATATGCAGTTTCTTTATGGCCAAAAGTTTAATTTTAAATAATGTCTGTTTATTCTTTGTTTCTTTCTGAAAATCAGAAAACCAAAAGTAAAGCTCTTTGCATTGGATGTTATTAGGTTTCTTCTTTAATTGTTTGTTGAGTTTCTTTCACCAACTATATCTATGAAAAATTGGTTCTATCAATTTAAACCAATTAGTGGTGTTCAGAGGAAAACTTGCATGCAAAAAGTTATCCTAATTTAAATTTGAGTGAAGTTTGTTGGAATTTCATCTGCATTTGTCATCTGAATAGGAAAAATCAGCACAATTGCAGTAGTAGAATTATCAGTTTTCTACTAGTAAATTTCTTTAGACATTTTCCATCAAGAATTGTTGGGCCCTCCAGGTCCAAAGTTGATCACTGATCAAACCATTGTTTCAAGATTGATATCAATGTGATAATGCTTGTTCTTGCTGATTGCTGTTTTTTTCCCATTAAAGTGCATCGATAACCTGATTGTCATAAACAACCTCTATCCTAGTGATTTTATGTTTTCCCTTCATATCTTTTTATTGTTGTTGTCATCATCTTCTTGGTGCATATGGTTATGCATCTGATCATTGTCATCAAAGCCTTATCCCAATTATAAGGGGTCGGTTACATAATTCTTATGCTTCCTTTACTGCAAAATGTTTTATTATTCAATTCAAACCGCATTTTTTTTTGCAGGGATGGGTAACATTGCAATTAACACGTGATCCTAATTACTCTAGAGGATATCTATCTGCCAGATCTGTCACTGGTTTTCTTTCTGATGTTTTTCCTGCTGCTGCTGATGAAGTTGGAAAAATATACTTGGTTGCAGATGAAAGGGTTTGTATCTGTTGCGTTTTCATATGTGAATGCTTTTACCTTGTTCTGGATCCATCTTTACTGGACTAAACCCATCCAATTTAATCTGTTAGGATTTAGCTGAGCATCTTTTTGTTCAAGAGAGAAGATGAAATAACATGCAGAAATAGCTTTGCTGAGTGTAATTCTCATTTGTTTTTGATAAAAAAGGTAATTCTCATATTTAAATCTAGGAAATAAAAAGAGAGATTTATCTACATCTAGGGCTACCTAGAGTTTTTTTTTTTTTTTTTTTTTTTATATATAGGTCTTAGAAGCCTTTTGTAATCAGTCTTGGTTTATAAACGTAGCATACTTGAATTTACTGAAGCACTTGCTTTTTCTTGTTTGGTTGAACCAATAATAATTGGTTTGTTCTCTATTTTTATTCATAGCTTATATTCTTTTCTTCTGTCTTAGGTTTGGTGTACTTCTGCTCTACTTTCTTAGATTTATATAGTTCTTGACATTTAGTGGCCTTTTTTTGGTTTGTGATTTTTATGTATCTTTGTTTGGACATAACCTTGAGGTTCCACCATCTGCATGTAAGCACAGACAACATCTGATTAGATAAAAGCATGGTAGCAATTAAGAGTTGGCCTATACTAACTACAGTTAGGAAGATGCAGATTGTGGAGTGTTTATGGTTTGGATCTGTGGAGGAGGAATATATCTCTTTGGGTAGAAGGGTAGCTCTATAAATTGACAATGGCTAATTTACCCATATACCTTCTGTCCACTTTTTGTCCAGTAAAAGTGACCAAGCTGTTAGAGAAATACACGAGGGATATGGGAACCGGGGGAATAGAAGAAGGATCATTTTGTAAAATGGAAGTTGTTTAGCAAGTCTAAGGAGAAGGGTGGGCTAGAGATTTGGAACTTGATCATAGGAATACAACCTTGCTAGGTAAGTGGTTGTGGTGTTTATCAATTGAAAGGAACAGGCTATAGCACAAAGTTATTGTAAGTATACGTGGCGCTGTGGACAATGACTGGGATGCAAAGGTAGCTCTACAAAACAAGAGGTACTCCCAGTTATTTTTAACTTTTTTTGATCAGCATAGTGAGAATTTTATTCAACTAAAATGATTAAAATAGAGTTACATCAGCAAGAGTGCAGACAATTCAACAGAAAATGTTATATTAAAGCCCAAAAAAGTTGTTACCTTTGAACACCCTGTTTAGCTAGAGAGTCAGCCATTCCATTTGAAGTTCTCCTGACCCATGTGAATGAGGCATTAAGTTCCCTTACCATGCTTACTATCTCCCTTACTGGATGTCTGTAGTTCCAAGGAACACTACTGCTTGAATTGGTCCAAGATTTCACTGTTTTTGAGTCCCCTTCTATCTCCAAGTTCTTAATATCAGCTTGCTCAGCAATCTTTAGCCCTTGCAGCAGGGCTAACAGTTCAGCTTTTAAGGAGTCTCCTTCCCCTAAAGGTCCTGAGTACAAAGCCAATACTTTGCTTGAGGAGTTTCTGATAACACCACCGATGCCTGCCATACCCGGGTTTCCTATAGAGCTCCCATCAAAGTTCAGCTTTAACTTGTTGGGGCCTGGGGGCTTCCATTCCATCACTTTTCTTTCCTTCTTCTTAGCAATATGTGCTACTTCATTCCAGGCTCTTACAATATCAGTAATTGAGATAATTTGAAAGAGCTAGAGTGATTTTACCCAGTGAGCAACTTTTATCTTTATGGCCTCCCCAATAACCTCTTTTGGCCTATGCTTCTCATTAGACCTGTTCATGGGCTGGGCCAGGCCGGGCTCGGGCCGGGCTTTTACTCATTAACGGAAAAATGTTAGGTTCGAGCCCGAGCCCGGCCCGACCAATGGGCCTACAACTTGGGCCCGAGCCCGGCCCTGATAAAAAGCCCGAAGCCAGAGCCCGAGCTCGAAGCCCAACCTAATAAAAGAAATTAGAATTTTTCCCTACATTATCTATTTTAATTCAGATGTTTTTTTCCCCTATTTAAATGAACAATGGGCCTACAAGATGGTTTTTTCCCTTTTACGTTTTAAAACACAGTTTTAC